GTATTTGACATCCATAGACACTTCATTTTGCAAGAAAATTTATTAATGATTCAGCACATGCCGTATTTTAGTGTGTAGTCTTAACCTTTGCTAAGGAAAAACTGCTCTTTCTCAGTAAGGTCTGATGTAGGCATGTGGGCATGTACATACGTGTGAATATGTGTGTTGTGAGAGAGAATATGAATGATGCAGGCCACTGCCCCACCCGTCTTGCATCACCTTTCCTCCATCTTATTTATGACGTGGCTCAGTTTCAATTTCCCTCCATAAAAGAGAAATCATTTACTTTGATTTGACAGAGGAATGAAGTCCAGCCATCAGTGATTGGGCATTAGTCCAAGCAAGACAATTCTGGACAAACCTTGCCAAAGTCTGTGATGACCACATTCCTGTACACGATGGCCAACTGTCTGTGTTATTCTGAAAATCAAGGGGACTTATTTTTGGAAATGCTCATTCATTTCACTGAGTTTCAGCGGGCTTTTCTTCCTTCTCATACTCTTCACTGGCCCAAAGCATTTACAAATCACACATGCTCCATGGAGGAGCCCACTGGAGTGTTTTGTGGGGTTGAACCCTAGAGTCAAAATAAGACCACTGGAGGCTGCTAATTGATTAAAAAAAGCAGGCAAGGATTTGTTGAATTGGCTAGGATGGCCGCGAGAGCACGTGCAAGTGGAGTCCACACTCACGACCACACTGTTCCAGGTGTAGGCAGTCCCTTTAAAGGTATAAACCACAAAAATTCCCTTTGTTCTAAATTCTAAGTGCTAGGAAACAGCTAGCAGGGTGATTCCCAGCCACATCCTGCTGGACATTGGAATGTGACCCTATCTTGCGAAAGCAGATAGTACAGAAGCAGAGCTGAGCAGTTAATCTCTAAAGGTTATCTACAGTTTCTACTCCTGAAACTACCAAGTCAGTGGGAATCAATCTCCTATGGTCCTGGTCCACAGGCACAGGAAAACTGCCTTAGCCTCCAGGTCTCAATCTGGAAACTGAGGCAACTATCCTATTGTTTATGCAAGTAAGTGCGTGCAGAAGCCAGAATAGCAGGGTTAAAATTCAAACAGCAGTTTTTACCTAAGTATGATTGCTATCATACTTCAGAGTGTGCTGCAGGATTGCTTACAACTCTTTACTTTCTTACTAAATTTCCAATGATACAGTCCAACCATTTGCAGTGAAATGAACTTAGGAGACTAATTGTTGTATGAGGTATATATGGTAAGAAGGATTTAAGAATTAATAATAACTGATATGGTTGAACATGCCTGACACTGTTGCATTACTTTACACTTGCTGTGTAATTGAATGGTTAGAAATATCACATCAGGTGCATGTTATCTCCATTCTACAAGTAGAGGAATCAGAGTGCGAAGTGCCAGGTGCTTTGTCTTCAGTCACAAAGCGAGGGGCGGAAGACTGTGGATGTGCCAGGTGTTTGACCTTGGAACCTGTTCACTTCCACAACTACACGGAGCTGCCTTAAAAACCAGAAGTTTTACCAAAATAATAATAATAATAATAATAATAATAATAATAATAAAACACACCAAAAGTTTAATTTGTTCATTCTCAAAATGGCTGTTTCAATTATGATGTTGTTTACCTTAATCTCCTCTCATTTTAATTCCATCCACCACCTTTGGTATTTTAGGGTCTCTCATCTATTGGAAAATTGGTGTGCAGTGGGATATATCTTCCGGCAATAGGAAATTCCTCATCTGTCCTATTTTCCAGTGGCTTGATAATCATACATGAGTCCAGAAAGAACCATATCATCTTTTTATGTTTCCTTTCAAGTGATAAAAGTAGCTTTATGTAATAGGAAAATTATATCCTTGCACCAGCATTGCATTAGTCTTTGGGGTTGCTGTCAGCTGTGCATTCTCTTCCCTTTACATTTGGTTATATCTTTAGTGCTAACAGTTGCGTCATAAAGCAGATCTTTAACCAGCTTTGAATTGTTTTGTGGATGCCCATAGCTAGTTCTCCCTGCTTAAGAGCGCACTGCAGGACTTTCATCATCAGTGTGCTGTCTGTGTTTCCATGGTTATTTTTTTTCTTTTTGAATATTATTAATGCTACACACTGTTTGGGCTATGGCCTGAGTATAGAATCTATTTTCTACATCAGAATTGGTGTTTGCAGCCAAGGGAACATATTTATCATACGTGTTTGCATTGTCTTGTAACATTTCTCACTCCAAAGTCGAAAGTTGTTAGTATTACATGCGTTAAATTTATTTTGTTTCTTTGAACTTGTTAAAACTGAGTGAGAGGGCAGTATAAATTACCACTTGTCAAGCTGAAATATTAATTTGATGGTGTATTTTTGTAATGTATTTCTGTTCCCAGTGGATTGTTTAATTGCCCAATTCTGTTAAATGTATTACAAAACACAGCATCCGAAGCCACTAATTTCACCATCATGCCTGGAGAGCACAACTAAGAGAAAGTTGGAAAGCTAGCACAGGCCTTTTAAGAGGGTCTGAGTTCCTTCATTCTGCCCTGTTTTAACTTTTGTGTGTGTTTGTTTTTAATCAATGATCTGGGGGCAGACATACAAAGCATGCTTATCCAATTAGCACATACCCAAGTCTCGGTAAGATGACTGATACCCAAATGTAAAATCAGGACTCCAGTAGCTCTTGATACACTGGAGTGATGCACTGAAAACAAAGAGATAGAGGTTAGTGAGGGTAAAAGTACGTCCTATATTTTCATTCAGAAAGTCTCTTACCTTACTCAGTAGAGAGGAGAATCGGCTCAACAGCAGTGGCTTGAATTTCACGCTCCTATGGAAATTCAGACTCTGAACAGCTCAGAATGGACCAGCACCCTGTTCAGACTGCTGAAAGAGTATGAGGTCCAGGGAGGTAGACAGTGAGATTTAGGACTTGGAGTCCTTCTTTTGGAAAAGTGCTGATAACCTGTGAGAGTTCAGGGGTTTACCAGGATGGTGAAAGTTTTACTAGCTTCTAGTAGGAAGAACTGGAGGGAGTAAAGCATGTTTTGCCCGGAAAAGAGAATACTTAGAACATGACAATTCTTTTCAAATGATCAGCTTTCCTGGGTAAGAGCTGAGACTTTTTACTATTTCTGCAGAGGGTAGAGCTAAGATAAGTGAGTAAACATGCAGGAAGCAGAGTGTAGACTGTTATACAGGGGGGATTATTTACCTGGTAAAGGTGCTTTTTAAAATTCTCAGAGCCTCACATGTTCATAAGTTGTCTGTCTGTCTAGAATGTTTTTAAACATTTGGATGGAAATTGGACCAGGTGACTGCTTAACATCTGTTTTATCTTTGAGGTTGTACAGTTGCTGTTTTACTTATTGCTGCCAGGGCATACAGTGCAGACATAGTATAGTAATATTCTTATTTTTATGTATTATTGATTAGAATACTTAATTTTTATCATTGACAATAATTATAATTATAATTTTAAATTAATGTAATAATGACATTATCTAATGGTTAATAGAATCCTATATAATAAAAGCCTAATATGATAAGTGTCTGGTCGTCCAGTAGTTCGTTCAACCAATCAAAGCATAATATGTTAATTATATTCTAAGGCCATTCAACTGCTTGCTACAACATGCACTGACCACCAGGGGGCAGACAGTTGACCTATTGAGCAATAGCTATGATTTGCATTGGCCACCAGGGGCAGACAGCTGACTGGTAGATTAGCTTGCTGTTGGGGTCCTGCCAATCAGGACTGAGCGAGACAGGTCAGCCATGCCTTGGAGCCTTACCATGGTCCCTTCTCAGCCCTGATTGTGCACTAGTGGATTTCCTTGGCCTGGCCTGTGCCCTCTTGCAATCCAGAACCTCTTGGGGGATGTCGGAGAGCCAGTTTCACTCCAATCCCTCTCAGTAGGATTGCCCCTGATGGTCAGTGCACTTTCACAGGGGGCGTGCACTCAGCTAGAAGTTGGGCTCATGGCTGGCTAGCAAAACAGTGGTGGTGGGAACCTTTCATGCCTCCACAGCAGTGTTAAGAATGCCGGACTGCCAGCAGTTGAACATCCCCAAGGGCTCCCGGACTGTGAGAGGGCTCAGGCTGGGCCAAGGGGACCCCCACTCCACGGCCCAAGTGCACAAATTTTGTTCACCTGGCTTCTAGAGTTCATAATAATGTATTTGGTCAATACAATCAGTAACTTTTGAAATGTGAAACATTGGAGAAAAGACTTGATACTATAGTAATTCAAAGTAACAGGAGACATTTAAGGACGTTGAAGGGGACTGAACATTGTCTCTGTGACCCAGGATGCTAAAATAGCTTAAGTGCTTTGCATATACTACGTTGTTTGTTTTTTAAGTAGTCTTATTTCTAGCACCAAAATTAAGCGTATGTTTATCACATGTTTGGTTTTAATTTATTCCTGACTTTAAAAATAGTGAACTATAAACAAATCTATAACCTGTTTTAATTTTGATACTTAATATATCCAAAGTATTACTAGTAAAATAAAGCCAGTTTCTATGGTAAATTTAGAATAATCCTTAGAAAAATAATTTGCAAGCTATGTCCATGATCTATACTGCATTTTGTCTCCTGCCATCATGCCAGTGTTATGGTGAAAGTTCTTCTTTTAATTTTGTTGGAACAAATTATAATGGTTTTTCTATAGAAAACACATTGAACACTTTGGGTGGTCCTATTAAAGTTTTGAACACAAGATCAGTTGTTGCAAATTCCTGTACATCTGCAAAATAGGAATTATACATTTGTATAGCTCTTACTTTTAATTGAATTTTTAAAATAATGGTTCTTTTTGGGAAGCAATATAATATAGCATTTTGGCAAGACATGGTTAATACTCTGCTAGCAAGGGTTCAATTGGGTCAATATCCGGAGTTCCTCAGCATTAAATTCAAATCAAATTTAAGGAGCATCAAGAAGATTTATGGTAACCTATAATCATCAAAGACTTTTCCTGAGGTCTAGTGTTATCTACATTACTTTCCATTCTGTTGTGTTTCAGGAGGTTGCCTCTTTGATGAGCCATATAGCACGTGTGGATATAAGCAAGCTGACGATGATGACTTCAATTGGGAGCAAGTGAACACCTTGACCAAACCAACTTCTGATCCATGGATGCCATCAGGTTTGCTTTTTGTTTTAAGTTTTTTTGTTTGTTTGTTTTTTTGTTTTTGTTTTAAATCAAATGTTCACAAGAATCTTAATCGCTGTAAATATTCACTGGGTATTGGTTGAATGAGTGAGGGTGTAGGTCTCTGAGTGTGGCAGCCAAGGACTGGTTAACTAGTGAGAGCACTACTACAATTAAGAAGACCAGTTACAAAGAGTTTATCTTTGTCTCTTTTTATTTAAAGTCTAATTAAAGTTTACTTCCTTTACCTTTGGATGCATCTGAGCTAGATTAATGGTCACTTCCCAATTAATCCTTCCGAAGCAGCAGATATAGGAAATAGATTGATGTCTCTTCTTGCAAATGTGACTAGTGAATGGAACTGTAGCTGAGGAATCGAAATTACAGTCTTGGTTACGAATTAGAGAATTGGAGTCCTTGGGAGGTAGCATAAACCTTGTCCTCAGGAGTTCACCTGGCAGCTGGGTGATCTGTGAGGATGCCAGTGATCTTGAAAGCATTCTTCAGATGAAACAGTGATGCACACACGTGGATGCTTTGTCCTCTGTGAAAGTGCTCCGTATATTTTCTGATGAGTAAAGGACATTTGCTCCACTGAACATCAGCAAGAATTCTACCTTATATTCAGAAGGAAGAGTGGGAAGATCATTATTAGTGAACTCTAATCTCATTGGAGCTTGATCATTTTAATGGACACCCTTTTCAGGCTGTGATGTTGGACGTCTTTAAAATTTTAGATTGGAAATTCATATTATAAACTAGATGCCCAGTGCATGAAATTCGTGCGCTTGGGGAGGGGAGTCCCCTCAGCCCGGCCTGCATCCTCTTGCAATCCGGGAACCTTTGGGGGCTGTCTGACTGCCATGAAGGCTGGAGAGGCTTCTGCCACCGCCACTGTGCTCACCAGCCATAAGTTGGGCTTCTGACTGAGTGGTGCTCCCCCTGTGGGAACACACTGACCACCAGGCTGGCGGGGGTGGCAATTAGGAGCAACCATTTTGACATGGAGGGGGATTACCAGGCAGGCAGGTAGTGAATGATTAGGAACCAGTGAGTCAGGGATCCCCGGGATTGGGCTTAAACTGGCAGGTGGACATCCCCTGAGTGGTCCCGGATTAGAAAGGGTGCAGGCTGGGCTGAGGGCCCCCGCCCCTCCTTATGTATTTTGTGCACCAGAACTCTAGTTTGTTAATTATTGTCTGTGGCTGGTTTTAAGCTACCACGGCAGGTGTGTAGTTGCAGCAGACACAGTAGGCTCCACAAAGCCTGGATATTTCCTGTTTTGTTCTTTTCAGAAAAAAAAATGTGTGTATCCCTCTTAAACCATTTGGGTACCAGCATATAATTGTGGCTTTGGACTCTTAATTTATATTGTTATTGTTTTCTATACTCATATTTATTAACATACATTATTTCACATTTTGTTTCACTTTCAGTTTGTATGTTTTCCAAACATTTGGGCTATTAAAATCAGTGAGAAAAAAAGCTTGATGAGTAGGATTTTTCTATCTTTCCCATAAATTTGCTGCCTATTAAAAGCATTGTGATTTTCTTTATTATTTAGTAACATAATCCTCGTGGAACTATTGTGAGTCTAAGAAGCAAATAATCAATCAAGATGAGTTTAAAAATTATGACGAGAGACTAAAATTTTTATTCTAATTTTAAAATTTACTCTAATTAAAATATTACTTTGTCTTCTTTGAAATAGATGCTCTAGTGTGTAAGGTTTGCTTTTCTTTCTCTTCAGGTGTGAGGTTATTTTTAGCCACATTAAAAAATTTTAAATACAGGCTAGAGCTTTATACATGCTGACATAATAACTACTCTGAGGCTCTGACATTGACTTTGGAAATACATATTTAGGGCAAATAAATACCAAATAATTTATATGTTTTTGCTTAAAGTCGACAGTTGCATTATAATGGATTATAATGGATTATAGTCTTTGAATCAGACAGTTTTTATGATGGTTGGGAACTTTCTTAAACTTTGTCATAAGGATTGCCACTTTGAGCACAAGAAACTTTGATTAAATAACCAAATAATAATCAGGCATCTTGTTACACTGGTTCATGCTATCACTCTATATACTGTAGTATATGCGTTAATATAAACATAGAGTAAGAATTATTGATTAAGCATTTTATGATATAAAAACACCTACATAGTTTGACAGTGGTTGATGGTTTCTTTAATGTTCTCAAGTTCTTTATTTATATTAGTTAAAAAGATTTTTTTTTATCTTACAAAATTATAGACGCTTCAAAATTCAAAACATAATGTATTAAAATCAGTACCGTTTTCCTCTAATAAAAAGGCCTGTCATTTTACTTTGCATGATCTATAAATAAAAAGCAGAATTTACAATTATATTACTCTGAACCTTTCTATTGTATTGACATTCCTGAACCTTTGACATAACTTAATCCAATTCACATTTATTGAGAGGTTCTGATAGATCTGATTTTGTACCAGACCATATGTTTCATGGGGCTGTCTTTGTATCCTCAATGCATAGCACAATTTTTAGAACTTTGTAGGTTTGCAAAAGATGTTTCCAGGATGAGTGAAGAAAATGTACAGGTCCTTATTTCAGAGACCTTACAGTCTACTGAAAAAGATGGATTTTTAGCCCAGTGAGAGATCCTTTTCAGACTTCTAACATACAGACTGAAAGATAATACATTTTTGGTGTTTTAAGCTACCAAGTTTATGTTCATTTGCTATGAGATGGTTGATGTTTTTATATTTCATTAGAATATAACGTGTAACTCAGTGTTCCAGTTCTATAAAATAGTTTACAAGTTCCATAGTTTATGAATAAGAATATGTGACCCTGTTTTATATTCTAAAAGATAAACACTAAATCCATTTGTAAGAAATATAAGGGTAGTTTATAGCCACAGGCATTTGATAGCCATAAAGCTGGTTTTTATTTTTACGCAACATGGTCTCCTTAAGATGCCATGCCTTTAAAAAGCCTATACTTAAGTGAATTTGGGTCCTAGTGCTGGGAAAACAAAACATTATGCTTAGTGCTTTTCTAAGTAGCAGATCATGCATCTAGCGGGAAGCTCATTTAGTTCCCCACATCCAAGCTTTACATATTGCAAATTGAGAACCATGTTGTTTCTGATCTTTATGGAGATGCAGTGACTGAGGATTGGATCGTTTCTCTGGGTGTTCAAATGAAAGAAAGAGAGAGGGAAATGCCAGAAAAGGAGGAGCAATATGCACTCTAAGTGTGATGACCCAGAAAATAGAAAAAAATGACTCTGTATTTGTGTAGAGTTAGTTTCACATTTGGGAACATGATGGATGGACAGACAAAGGAATTGAAGTTTTCTTTTTGGGTGTATTCATCAGGTCTGTTTTGCTCCTGTTAGGGAAGGCTTCTCTGCTTACCTACACTTCAGGACTTATTCGGGGCTTAGTGAATGAAGAGAAGACTAAAAAGGGCATGAAATGATATTTATTTCCTTACTAAATTTCAGTGTGTATGTAATGAGTGATATTTTTGGCACAGAATAGTCAGACAGTTGTCTAATTATCTCATTCATTTTTTTAATCTTGTCACCATTCAACAAATATTTATTGAACACCTGCTATGTGCCAGGCACTGCTGGAGATGCTGGGGAGTCATCACTGAGTGCATCCCACACCCCCAATCTGGTGAGATTGTTCTCGGATTGCCAAAGAATCACATCCTATAAGACCATGTTTTCCAGCACTTATGATTGACTTTCTGGAAATTAGTATTCAAAAAAATAATACAAAATTTAATGCATCAGACTCAGCACATTATATCATCAAATTCAGCTTTCTTGTATGCTTTGTTCTTTAAAAAAGAGCAAAAACATCCAAGTCACAGGCATGGGGCAGTATAGTATGTTGTAGTAATTCTCTTTTATAAAGCAAACTGAGCTTGTATATGTAAATGACAATTAGCAGTTGACAAAGTTTGCTTTTTTTTTTTTTTTTTTTTTTTTTTTTTGCTGTGGATAATTTAATCCTCATGATGACCCTGGGAGATTGGGTGGCATTATCTCTATTTTATACCCTGGGAGACTGAAGTTCAGGGAAATTAAACTTGCCCCAGGCATCATGTGAGAGAAGCAGCCCCCATACCTGCTTTTTGAATGCCATATAATGATCTTCCCATGGAAGCAATCATCTGGTGAAGCAGGTTAGGTGGCAACTATTCAGATCTTGAAATGCACATGAAGGCTGCCAGGTCAGATGCTGGCTCTCTCGCTTCGTAGCTATGGAACTTGGGCAAGTGCTGCAGCTCCTAGTTTCCCAGGCTCCTCATCGGTGAGCTATTAGTTAGTAATATATGTCTGTGAAGTGATGGAGCTGCCGTAGTAGTGAGCGTTGGGAGCCGTAGACAGAAACAGCCTCTCTGAGCAGAACCTGGAATCCAGTTCGGAACATGTTGGCCACGGAGGTTAGTTACTGGGTAGAGAAGAGCAGGAGCGAAGACTGAGGCGGGATGAACTCTGAGGGAAGGTGGTCAGTGAGACGTTGTGGAAGGGCATTAGAACTTACCTCATAGGTTGCTGACTACGTGAGACAAAAGAATCCACTTCGGGAACTTAGTTTTGAACCTGGCCCAGCACCGTGTCCGGGAAATGTCCTCCTTTTATTGTTAGGAAGTAATCTTCAGAATAATTTGGAGTAGCCTCATTAGTACTCTCTGCGAGGTGGGCAGTTCATACAAAGGTCATATTTTTCTCTTCTAAATGATACCAAATAAACAGAAGAGACAGATCTTTACATAATGTTTGACAGATTAAAAAAGCAAACTGAAAGAAGTCCATTTAAATACGATGTTTTGTCATCATGGTAGGACTTGGGGTAATTGCACTGTCATTTCTATTTTAAATATTTCCTTTATGATTAGGAATAACTTTATAATAAAAACTAACACTTAACAATTTGGAAAGGGTTATCATTGATTTGGCATTATTCTAGTTGATTCTGAATATTTC